GGGGGGGGGTGTCTGTGCATCGTACATGCACTTCCGTGGGAAAGAAGAAGAAGAACGGCTGACGGAGACTGACGTTGCACAGACACCACCACCATTAAAACGGTTTACGTTTATATGTGTAGACACCTTGTCTGCTGTTCTTTGACGCGCGACCGAGAGGAGGCCCACACACGCAAGGGGCTCTTGCGTCTGTGTGTCCTTGCGTCGCTCTGAAAACGCAGAAGCATAAACTAGGCTTTAGTCTTTTTCGGAGCAGGACAGCAAAAGTGGTGATCTAGTCGAGTGTTTTGCTCTCAGTGAGGGAGGAACAAGCAGTTTATCAGCTGCAGAGCAGAGAGTACGGGTTGGGATGTAGGGTTTGACCATGTCCTGGATGTAAGCTGGACCCGATCCATTCACAGCATGGTACGTGAGCACCAGTGTTTAGAACTGGATGCGGGCGGCCACCGGTAGCCAGTGAAGAGAGCGGAGTAGTGTGGGAGAATTTCGGAAGGTTAAAGACCAGTCGAGCTGCTGCATTCTGGATGAGCTGCAGAGGTCGAATGGCGGCGGCAGGGAGACCAGCCAGGAGGGAGTTGCAGTAGTCCAGGCAGGAGATGACAAGAGCTTGAAAGTACCTGCGCTGCCTTCTGAGTGAGAAGAGGACGTATTCTCCTGATGTTATAGAGCGTGTATCTACAGGATTGCGTTGTCGCAGTGATGTTGGGGCTGTCGAGTGTCACACCGAGGTTCCAGTCAAAGTGGGCGTTAACATGGAGTTGCCAAAGTTAACCGTTAAGTCCTGGGTTGGAGAATCTTTTCATGGAAAGAGAAGTAGTTCAGTCTTGTCGGGGTTGATTTTCAGGTGGTGGGCAGACATCCACTGAGAGACGTCAGTTAGACAGGCAGAGATCAGAGCTGCCACCTGAGTGTTTGAGTGAAGGAAGGAGAGAATTAGTTGGGTATCATCGGCATAGCTGTGGTAGGAGAAGCCATGCGAGCCAATGACAGCGCCGAGAGAGTTGGTGTAGAGTGAGAAGAGGAGGGGACCCAGGACGGAACCCTGAGGAACTCCCGTAGTAAGAGGACAAGCTTCCGAAACAGATCCTCGCCAGGTTACCCGCTAGGTGCGGCCATCGAGGTAGGACGAGAGAAGGGAGAGAGCAGAGCCTGAGACACCAAGTTCCTGAATGGAGGAAATAAAGATCTGGTGGTTGACTGTCAAATGCAGCAGAGAGGTCCAGAAGGATGAGGACAGAGGAGAGAGAGGCGGCTTTAGCAGTGTGGAGTTGCTCTGAGACAGTGTTAAAACTATGACGAAAATTTTTCATTAACAAACCTTTTTTCCATGACTAAGACGTGCCGAAAACGATCTTAAAAAATAAAAACTAAATCTATTCCAACTTTCGTTAACGAGACGAGACGAACATGTTGGTGGTTGACGGAGTCACGATACTTTTTCCCCCCTAAATTCGCACGCAGCTGACAGACAACAGACAGACAAAGTACGGCGGATATTGACGCGTCATGATGACGTCATCCACGAACCCAGAACGCGCGCTCGCAGCGGTGGTTCTTGTGGACCGACTACGGACCGCAACGACTATTTTACGCTTCGGCGAGTTTGAACGTGGCTTCGTTAGTTTAGCTCAGCTGTCTCGTTTAGCTGACTGTTAGCAGGCTGAAGCCGCGCTACTTCACAGAAACATGAAGACCCGTTTAAAGACTGTCGGACCTTTCTGCTCTGTTCTCTGGCGACGGCAGGCAGCGTTTCCTCGGCTGGATGAGACGCTCCGTCACAAACGCGTCTAACGTAATAAACTAATTGCAGGTTCTGAAGCCTCACGCATCAACTATAGTTCACGCGCCACATCGTGAGAAGACTGTGTTAAACCGTCTCGGCCACCGTACGTTCGTTACTAAGCAACATAGAGGCGCCACACACGTGACAGGTGGATCCTTTTAATAGAACTGCGCAGTGCAGGTGAAGGACGTGGCGGCACAGAGCAGGTGGAGGAAAACCCGCAGGACACAAGAG